CAGATGGATATAGATGATGGATGATAGATATAAAGATAGATAGACTTGCCAGATCTTCCTTTGCTGTAGACTCTCTCTCCCTCTCCCTCTCTCTCCCTTCTTCCCCCCTTTCCTCCCCTCCCCCCCCCCCCCCCCCCCCCCCCCCCCTCCCCCCCCCCTTCCCCCCCCCCCCCCCCCCCCTCTCTCTCTCTCTCTCTCTCTCTCATGAGAACTATTTCATATTACAGTATCTGATTGAACAGTTAGAAGAGGCCTAGCTTTGAGAACAAAGAGAGAGAAATGACAGGCCTGTTTCCATGCAGAAACATTCTCATTTTAAAAACATCTATTGGTCAGCTTTGAATGTGTTGCTTGGGATCTCTGAATCCTTTTTATTTGAAAGAAAAAGAACATATTCAATGGCACTTTTAGAAGGTTTTTTTAAATTACAAAGTGGCATAAGCTTTCTTAGGTAACAATGTTGAATTAGAAATAGGGAAAGTAGGATGGAAAGCCAGCGAGAAATTGAAAAGAGAAAGTATTTAAAGATTTTTCAAAAGAAAGTAAGAGGACACATTGTGCAGCATCTTAATAACATGCAGAGAAGCCCAAATCTCTGGTAAATCCCAGATGAATAGAAAAATATTTGTATAAGAATATTTACCACTTTTATTGTATATCTGAGTAGATACTGTAATTGCTTTTGCAGAAATAATAATCTAACTGAATTTTCTCATTCTCTTTTCTAAACTGCAACTCTTTTCTAAACTCTCATTTCTCATTCTCTTTTCTAAACTGCAACTTTTAAAAACCATGTTGTTGTTGCTATAGGAAGACATGGTTTGGATCAGTGTTTCTCAACCATGCCACCTGGGGAATTCTGGGAGCTGAAGTCCACATACCTTAAACTTTCCCAGATTCAGAAACACTGGCTTAGATTATTTCTAAATTTGCTTGACAATCCCCACCCCAGTACACCTCAAAGGAAAATATTGCAATAGGTGCCTTTTTGAAATCTCTAGCCCTATTTATTTATATATTTTATGTACTGCTTCAGTTTAAAAGACTCTAAACAGGGGAACAATAACCAATGTAAATATCAATAGAAAGGCACATTAATTATAAAAACATATCAGGAGCAGCAATACCAGTCACTCTGGAATCTTTCTGAAACAGCCAGGTCTTTACAAGTCTTCAAAAGCCCATAGGAGAAAGGGGGTAGCAGTTCCAGAATAAGAGAGAACTCCAACAGAGAAGGCCCACTTTCATTATCTGTCCCATTGCCCTTTATGAGAAGTGGAGACCTTCAAGTTGGACAGCTGCAAGCCATCAGTGAAAGTTGGTATGGTAGATATCCAGGCTCTGAACCATATAGAGCAGGGGTAGGCAACCTTGGCTCTTTTATGACTCGTGGACTTCAACTCCCAGAATTTCTGAGCCTGCCGGCTCAGGAATTCTGGGAGTTGAAGTCCACGAGTCATAAAAGAACCAAGGTTGCCTACCCCTGATATAGAGTGTTGTGGTAATGACTAGCACTTTGAATTGTACTTAGAAACAGCAGCCTATTTATTTATTTATTAAACTTGTACGCTGCCCATCTTGCTTAGAGGCAACTCTGGGCGGTTTACAAACATTAAAAACCAGTAAACATTAAATCAATAAATAACAATAACAATGAAAATAATTTACAGTTGAAAGATGAGGAGAAAGGGAGCAAGATGCACACAGGGAGAGATGGGGTCTTCTTTTAATCAGAGACCCACCTTCAGAGGGATGCACGTCCATTAGGGCCCTAGGCCAACTGGCAGAGCCAGGTCTTCAGGTCCTTACTGAAGGTCAGAAAGGTGGGTGCAGATCTTACCTCAGGGAGCACGATGTTCCAAAGAGCAGGATCCACAGCAGAAAATGCTACATATTGGTTACAATAATCTACAATAACTATTACAGAGGAGGTGCTTATGGCAGTCGTGAGACTACCCCGTAAGCATCTGGTCTGCAGGATTTTGCCCCAGCTGACGTTTTATGTGGTCTTCAAGGCAGCCAGATTTAAAGCAATTTGCAATAATGCAAGATGACACATGAGCTTCTCAGTAAGGCCCTCAAGCTAGAGATAGACAACACGTAGGGCTGTTGCCTCGCTATTTTGTTCATAGGTGGCCTCATGAGTAGGGAAAGGAACTCAAAATGTTCCTTTATAGCCCTACTCTTCTTTCCAGGTCAAGCAATCTACTCATTAAGCCTTTAAATTCAGTGGGGTCAACAAATGCTGAATATGGGAGAAGGTAACACTGTTATTATAAGCATAGCAAGTAGCATGATTTAACATGCAGTATCCTACGAGATTCCATCACAACCTGGAAGATGAAATGTGTTAAAGAAGCATTCTATTATTCCTACAACTGCCAAAAATATCACTTGGCAAACCTTTTTATTAACAAAGGACATCATGATACAGAGAGAACAGTACAAGTTTCTTAAATCTGCTACTAAATAATAGTGTGGCCTTGAATTAGATCACTCTAGATGCATTATCTTCCCATCTGTGAGGGGAAGAGGATAAGGAAGGCTTGCATTATTTTAATAGCTACTGTGATGATTAATAGGCTTCATCCATATATTTAAATATGCTATGAACAGAAATATCCTTTAGGTAATCTGAAGGAAATGGTGCACCAGCTGTGTCCCCACTAAGAGAAATTGGACGTTGTCATTCATAGCCCCGTTATACTGAGATTGGATAATTGTAACCTTCTCTGGAGGAGGCTGGCTTTGAAAAATGTTCAGAAGCTTTTATTATTTTCAAGTACAGCTGCTAGAATACAGATGAATATGAGGAATTTTGATGGTATTATCCCAGCACACTTTCAGTCAGGGGTTTTATTCAACGCTTCTGGTCTCTCTGTATGGTAATTCTATATGGTTATATTCTTCATCTTGATACAGCCAGACTTGCCTCATTCACACATAAGAGATCCCAGCATGAGATCTTCTCAAAGTGACTCAGATTTGTTCAGTGAGGCAATCTGAACCATGAAGGTTCTTTGCTTTGCTTCACCAATGTGAAACTGCCTAGTACTGGGGGAGGAAGTTGAGGTAGCCTTCTTTCTCTGTGCTGGCAGAGGAGCACTGAAGGTTTTTCTTACTGGACAGCTTTCAGTGAACCCACTGAAAGAGCCCAGTCTTGAAGCACTTGAGCCACTGTGAAGAATTTGGTATTTACCAACAGTGGAACCTACCTACGTTGTGGGAATAAAGTTATATTTCTTTTTTTTTACAGAGCTAAGTGATATTAGTAAGCACACACTGTTTACCTCTTGTATCTTTGCCTCTTTATAGAAGAACAAATACTGGCAGGGGGTGCGAAGAGGCTAAGGGAGATTTTTTCTCTCAAAATCAGCTTAGATGACCTGAAGATCTTCCTCTACAGTACTTCCTGAGGGAGACTGCTCTCTAGCTTCTCCCTAGTGCAGTGGTGGTGAACCTATGGCATGCATGCCAGAGGTGGCACTTAGAGCCCTCTGTGTGGGCACGCGTGCCATTGCCCCAGCCCTGCCTCCCCCTGCGGCCCCCTCTTCACCAGTAGCCCCCCTGGACGAGAGTTACTCCCAAGCGCAGCCTGTGCAGAGCAGCACAGCCAAGGACATGGCAGCCAGGCAAAGGGGACAAGATTCCGCCCTCACGCCTCGTCACACGCAGTTGATGCTGCGGGGTGCGGGTGGAGGGCGTGGCCACCATGGTGCTGCTGGGCTGCCTGGGAAATCTGCGGCGGGCTGTAGAGACAGTGAGTGGCCCTGTGGGCGGGTGGGATGTGGCAGAGCAGGGGTGGGATGGGGGCTGAGGTGGTTTTTGGGCACTCAGTCTCTAAAAGGTTTGCCATCACTGCCCTAGTGCAAGCTTTGCAGAAGAAGACTGAGGGGTTTCAGACTGAAGCAGTGAAGTTGAAGCAAATGGCCCATGTTTGGTTCACAGAGCAGCTTCGAGGGTTCATGTTTGGTTCACAGAGCAGCTTCACTGAAGCTAACCATTCATGGGAAACTTCATGCAGCCCCCAATGAACAGATGTAAGAAGCCTCTTAAACATTTGCAGAAGTATCTTCAAAAATATTCTAGAAGGATTGGTAAATAGCACGAGTGTGCAGGTTTTGTAGCCATAGGCAACTGATGGAAAACAGAGGTGCCAGAATGGAATGAAATATTCTGGGGGGAAAAGATAAAACTGAGTGTGATCTCGAAAGAAAACACTCCCATTGTCTCATTTAGTTACCGGATGGGTTTTCAGATTTTCCAGCTTTTGAGAAGCTTGTTTGAAGACAATCAGGACCGTTAATGTAGTTCTCATTTTTCTGCTTCTCTCCTGCAAACCACCAACATGGCCCTCAGCTCCAATAAGTTTCCTATTTTTGCCTTACCCCATAATAAAATTTTATTTTTATTTTATTTACTTATGCTGCCCATCTCCCCTATAAGGTGACTATTTCTGTCTTAGAGAATCTCAGGGCAATTCTTTCACTCTACATAATGCGTGAAGAGGGATAAGTCAAAGAAAGGGAATAAATCAAGAGATGTAACAGTATGACCTATGCTTTATATTAGGGTAAGAAACTCCAATGTGAACTCAAGGGATTTTCTTATCATATTGACTGGAGCTGCAGTTTAGTACTGTGCATAAATAGGGTTGCCTGGTCCCCTGATTTTGTACATTTGCTAGACTAAATCTGGTTTGATGCTTATTTGTATAGTTGACACAAATCCTGGTTGCATAAGGAGTAACAATAGTAACAATAGTAATAGTGGAATAGTGGAATGTTATATCTAATTTAATTGTCCATTTCTCAGCCCCTGAATATGTATTTCAAAGACCAAGTGTATGTTTTTTCCTGGAAAAGTTTACCATGTGGGTTAGCATATCTGAATGCAGCATACATATGTATTTTTACTCTAATATTGTTCAAATCAATAAGTGGCCTTGGTTAAATAGAAAATGTGCTAATTTTTTTCATTTCTTTTTCCTGCAATTGCAGGGTCTGGTTTTTTACCCCCTCCTGATCAATTAAATGTTGATCTGTTTGTTGTAACAGGAATTTGCCAGCTAGCTTTCATAGGTAAGAAGGAACTAGAACTCACAATCTCCTGATTTTTAGCCTGGAGCCTTAATCACTAGATCAAACTGGCTCTCAGGAAAGATGTGCTTTTCTTTGGACTTAATAGGACTAGCACTTTCTATTGCCCTAAGGATTTTAAAAAATCTTAAAGAACATTGACATTTCCCCCACTTATTAAAAATGGTTTTATTTTACTTTTCTGAGCTTTGTGATATGTACATTTCATACCACACAAAGGTCACAAGGTTGTATCATGCAAAGAGACTTACACAGTTTATTTTTAGGATGGACCAAATGCATAATTGATTAAAATATTTTTCCCATGTCCGCTATTAGCTCATAAAAATAGATGGAATATAACATTAAATCAGGATCAAAATTATCATAGTGTTTATGAAGTCCAAAGCTTCTAAGATTTGAAATCACGTTTCAAATTCCAGCTGTAGCTGGAACTTTGATGGGTAGCAATACTAGCAATGAACCTATAAAATCCATGACTAGCACCAAAATGGGAAAAGAAGGAAATTTCCTGCTTGTGGGACAAAGAAAATAGATTGAGTACATGAACTTGGGGACAATGGAAGGTGAGGAATTCATGATTCCACTTGATGCTCCTGATTCTGATTTGTCAAGCAGAGATTTATTTATAGCTACCACCACAAACAGCCTCTGCATTTCTACCACGAGCTCATTAAACAACATACCGGATACAAATGGGGCATGGTTATTATGCAGAAAGTTTATTCTCTTATTCCAATCTTCCCCAGATGTCTTCCAGATGTGCTAGACAACAATTTGCAGCATCCCCAGCTAGCATATTGAAAGTTGCCTCATTTAAGAATATGTGCACTATGATGTTAAACTTGCATCCACCAAGGAATAATACTTGGAATGTATCCATATGATTAATATTGGAGAAAGAGTGGGCAATGAAATGGATCTTTATTATATGTATAATGTTCATTCCACTCTTTACTTCTAAAATTAAATGAGGGAACCAAATAACTGGAAAGGTTGGTATCCAGAGACACAGCTTTTTAAAAGTCTGGAACAATGCTGATAAAGATCAAGTGGTTAGTTGTAAGCAAGAGCTTCCAAATTGCCTCCAGATGAATGCATCATAGCAGCTGACCCAAGCATACTTTCACATAGTTACTGCCTCATTCACAGAAGCATAGAGCTGGAAAACATCAGGGTGGGTTCCACTTGGCTGAAAAGGCATGAAAAGATTTTCACTGCCTGTAGGATGACATCATTGTCCTATTCTAATTATTCCTGGCTGATGAGATACTTGCAGAAAAGATGCTTTGCTTAAAAAAGGGTACAAAAACAAATTGGAAGCTCTTGATGAAAGCCTAATGCAGAAGTTGATAGTCACTGTAGCATTCAATTTCATCTTCATGGAAAAAATGCACAAATCTACCATACTGAGGGTGAAAGCTAACATTCTGAAGGTGAATTCTAAGAGCGGGCAAATTGAGAGTGAAGACCAGCATTCTAAAGTATGGCAGGACTTTGAACATCTTGTAGTCCAAACCATTTATTATCAATGCTGAGAACATGTGCTTCAAACAGTTCTGCAAAAATATCTTATTTTTTCCCCTAAGCAAACTACCAGCAAGCTTTCAGTGTTATTGAAACACTAGGTATGGGTATGGAACAAAGGGCTCAGGGGTATCTAAATGCTGTTTAAATGCTGTAGTATGGTGCAGTGGTTAGAATGCAGTATTGCAGGCTAATTCTGCTGAATGCCAACAGTTTGATCCTGACCAGTTCAAGATTGATTCAGCCTTCCATCCTAACTAGGTTGATAAAATGAGGACCCAGATTGTTCGGGCTAATAGGCTGTAAACTGCTTAGAGAGGGCTGTAAAGCACTATGAAGCAGTATATAAGCCTAAGTGCTATTGCTATTGCTTTTCACCTATTGCTGTTCCCCTCTCCCCTGTTACCTCTGTCACATTCTCCTCTTGTCTTACTTTCTTTCTGGCCCAAGAGTGTCACCTTGCCCCTTTAAACACTTAGCATATTTCCCATTTTTCATCTCATTGAATATTCCACTTTTCAATATCTGGGTCCCTGCCTTTGGTATGACATATAAGGGCAAGGGTGTAGACAATTACAGTGCGGTCAAACAACCAATTTTGAGGGATCTGCCACGAGAGATGTATTTAATTTATTTTGGCTATCTCTAGTCTGGTGAAGGCAGCTTACAATATTTATAAAACACAGCTGGATATTTAAAAAGCAGAGGTTAAAGCTAACTATCTTGTAAACTCATTTAAAATTAAATGCTTGCTAAAAGGCATGCATCTTTGCAGATTGTCCTACAGATTGCTTAGAGTGTAGGAGCCAGACATAATTCCCAAGGAAATGCTAGGAGCTACAATAGAAAGAGCCATCTCTCTGTCTACTTTAAGTTACGCCAGCAAGCAAATGATAAAAAGTGGAGCTATTTCAGTGACATGCATAACATGATTCTTGTAACTTGCACATTAGGTACCACCTGTACTGTCTGGATAACTTTTAAATGTAGCTCTATGTAGAGCTCATAGCAGCTGACAATGCAAAGTTGTAATCAAAGTATGCACAAGTATTAACAAAATATGACCAGTTCAAGAAGGTCACTGCTAGTGTACCAGGCAAAATGTAGCATAGGTGTACTTTATTACAACAGCCACCTGCAAGCCCATAATAACAGACCAAGAGATTGCTGAGGTACACCCCAGGGGTCTATTCTAATGCTGGAGTCCACGCTAAGATGGAGCCAACTGACATTGCTTGCAAAGAATTAAGCAAATTGCTCACAACCAGTCATTAAAGTTATAGATGCAATTATTGCAGATGCTTGCAGAAAGAACATCTACATAAAATTCTGACCACGAGGGAAAAAAGGTGTGCAACTTAGT